GATTTTTTCCTCCCGGGCGCGCTGGTAATCTGTCTCCAATTGGAGATTGGAATGAAACTACAGAACTTGCAAGTTCCAAGTTTCCAGATGAGATGGCCTTCACTAAAGGAAGAAAACGGCGAGCAAGTTCCAACGGGACCATTCGTTATGGGAGTGCATGCGCGTGGGCACGGCCCTGAAACCTTTCCTTTCCTCGCCAACCACGGTCTAGCGGTGCCATGCGAACTTCTCGTCAAGGAAGTAACGCCTAACCAAACAGGACTCGAGTTGCAGATTTGCAGCCGACTTCGGGGTCTGCATTTGGGTGAGACCGAATCCGATGATGATCACGATAAGGACGATGGTGGTAATGGTGATGATGATGATATTGATGTTGGTGATGCTGGTGATGATGATGCTGACGATCACGATGGCTGGGATTCACAGATGTCCGGTGTTTGAGATTGATGGTTTTTCGTTTCGATTCTGATGATTCGTGATGCTGTATGGTAGGCCGGTACAACACTGGCACTTCTTTCAGGGGCATTAGAAGGGTTGAAGCATAGCAACGATGAATAAAGGTTTACAAGTGACATTTTGGCTTTCGGCGGGGTGTAGCTGTTCTTGAGTGCTACACAAACTTGCGATGGTTTTTTTTTCGTGAAAGAAAGGGAAGTGATTTCATTGCACCCAAACTTATCAATGCGGTTGCAATTATTGTGACTGGATTTGTCGTTTGTAAGGACAGCGGAGACGCGACGGGTGTTGCTAGCGCAGCGGCGATGTTTGTACCAGCCGCAACCATGATGAATGCAAAGGGTTAGAGGCGTGCAGACACCGGTGACTATCACACACCGGTGACGGATTTTAGTACGTTGCAACCGCAAACTTTCTTGAGGCTCTTCGGTTGCATTGTTACATAAGCCCCCATCCTTTTGGTGGCCCGAAGCTTGGGCAGTGGTCACGTGGTCATGGGATATCATTCGCCATGCGGGAGACTGGTCACTGCAGCGAGTGAGACACACACTAACAAGACACACCCTCGACAACCACACTAACCGCCCGGAAATGCCAAGCCTGTGCGTTGGCACACCGAAAACCCCGCACACTTTGGCTTCACGATGTTTTTGTGGTGTGTGTGTCCGCTCTGCCAGGCGAGGTAGAGTGTACGGTTTCGATTCAACAACTCATTTGCCCCCGCGATTCGCTTGCTACCACTCAGTATTAACCTCAGCCGATAGTCCGCATGGCAACTTGTTGGAATGAACGTTTAACGCCAGTTAGCAAGGCGATAGCACTTGCAGTGAGCCCCCCATCGAGACGGAACGGAACTATATCGTGCGAAGCGAGCGAGCGATAACTCCTGAGCGTGTGCGCGTATACCGATCGACCTAAGTCCGCAACCCGGCAAAGTGGGGCCCCCTCTGTGGGTAGGCAGAGGCACCTAACCCCCACAAATCGCAGTCGCCGGTAACATGGACTCTTCCGGTGCCCCGAGCGGGGCCGATTGTAGTGTGGGGATCATGGTTTTAGGCAGCAAAGAGACCACGTTCCAGAGGGTGAAATATTCCCGACATCGAGGGCACAGCGATGTTTGAGATCTTTCGGGCGTTAGAAGCGGGCGTGCATATGGGCGGAGGAATGCACATGGTGGTGGGTCGGACGGGGAGGGAGCACGTCAAGTCGATATAGGGATCACTTTCACTGAAGGGTTGGAGGAGGTTTTTGGGTTTTCGATTCACTCTTTTCACTGAATTTGCTTTTATGTATTTCTTTTGTATGGGGAGCCCCAACAGACGGGTAAAACCGTGGGGACAGGATACCAGGTTTCTTATGTCCGTCATAGGCCCTTGGCCTCACTCCGATTCGCAAGATAGGAGGCACTCGGGCTAACGCCCTCGTGTACGCTGTATGATTTAAACGAAAAACCAAACCAAAGACACACTAACAGCACCTCTAAAAGGCTTTCAGATCCTGCGAAAGGAGATTGAAGCTGAAAATCCTGGAGTCATCATCCGAATGGAACCCCGGTGGATCAGATCGCAACGGTCGATAAAGGAGCAGTAACCTTCGCGCTGCAAGATAAACGGATCGCTGAGAGGCTACTGGGGAAAGGATTGCGTGCCGCGGGCCCGAGGTACGAGGTGGAGCGGTACCAGTGGTCGCAACCGTGCCGATATCTGCCGGGCCCGGCCGACATTGAGAGATTACAATATAGAAGGTGCCTGACATAGCCGTGCGCGGGCGACATCGGCGGGCCTGGGTGTAACGGAGAGGGTCGGGAGCAAACTGGAGGGGCCCAAGGTCCTCGCGCACGGAGGGGTAACTGACGGAGACAGGAACTAGAGCCGAGACGAGATCCGGGAGACAAGACGGGAGATGCTATGCACGGAGTCCAGGGTTCAGAGTGGAACAGAGGTATTCAGATTGAAATACGAAGGTCCTGTAAAGAGGAAAGGAAAGCAAACAACAAAGCGGAAGCATAGGCCCCTTATATTGCCCACGTGACCGGTGCGCCGCGCCACGTGGAAACCGAACACAACCTCGGCAGAGCCGCAATACAGAGCCGCAACGCGACGGCCACAACGCAAACGCCACCAAACCTTATTCCAACCTCGCGCCGTGACAACCGAATTTGTAACCCACTTGTCTAAGTTCTCTTTTGCTTGCCTGGTTGGCACTGATTAGCGGTCGAGCAGCCGTAGTTGGATGCGGATATCGGCAAGTTTCGATAGGGGGCCTCTGGTCGAAAATGGGAGATCAGCACTGTTACGACAGGAGTGCAGAGCGCAGGCGGTGCAATTGTGGTGCAACATCCACGACTCAACTCACATACGCATTCAAAATGTAGGACACCGCCAGTCCAGGAGCGTGGGGTCAAGCTCGCGATGTGCGGTGAACTATGACCTCCTCAATCGCAAGGCATACAAGGCTCACACGGCTGTCATATAAAGTTGTCGGCTCGCCTTGTGTCCCGTCTATATGTACCAGGTTCCGGCAGGCTAAAAGCTTTTGGCCAGATTATGGTTGGGGACTCCTAGTCACTGTGGGATTTCTGACATTCGTTTCGCTTAGTAACACATACAAAAGTGCCGAGTGATGAGCGTGAATCTTCCTTTTTTGACCATATAACTGACATTTGTCACCGGGGAGGGTCCTATTTTCTCAACAACCAGGCAGAATTCGGAAATTCTGAGTTAATCAGTCGATAGAGCGAGCGAAAACTAGGCCCCTGATAGTGTTATTTTTTAAAATAACTTTTTTTTGGTGGAGGATGCCCCATCCAAAGTCAGGGTACCCAAACCCCTCCGTCTTTAGTGTCCCCATACTTGCCCGCGATGCGACTTAGCAGGCGCGGTTCGATCTTGGTACCCGAAATTATTAGCGGATGCAGGAACAAAAACCTTCTATACTAGAATAGGTAGGCAGTCATCAGCCAATAGGGAAGTGGACATGTGATATCGAGGTTCTGCACTGCCACTGGCGAAGTCACTTCGCCACTGCGCAGTATATAAGGAATTATACGGTACCTATCTGAACAAAAACCCGCACAGGTACCATAGGTATATGCAAGAGGACCTGGGCCTCACCTGATACAAAAGAAGGTTTCAAGTCCAAGAGCCCCGAGCCAGGAGATTTGTGGTATAGACAGAAAGAGCCTGCGCAGCCAGGTAAGCCTAAGTAAGTGGTACCCAGATCGAGGCAGCACCGATATATTGGTTCGCGGAACAGCACCTCCACATTCACAAGGAGATCACGTATAGTGGGCTGGATAGTCCCGCTGCAGGTAATGGGCACACTTGCCGCCCAAAAAGCGCTCAATTTACCCTAACGGCGGTCTTGTTGTTACAGCTACATCGGTCTACCGGCGACCACTTCTGTGTTTTCGAAATAGCAACGTTGCCTCTAATACAACGCACAACGCGGGGGCACAGCTTTCTTCCCCTGTATACTCCTCCAATAAACGCAGCGCATCACCTCCAACAGGAGTACGCATCGGTGGAGAAGGTAAGCACTCGGGATCTCGATACCGATTACCGAACAGTGCCGGCAGCTTCAAACGTGCGCATTGGCAGGCTGGAGATGGACGTCTCTGGGTGCGACTACAATAAGCCGAGTGATCCCGTGTAACAGCTGCGCTGTGTAAAATTACACTGCGAGCTCCTACCGGTTGAGCGCTCTCGTGGGCAGCGGGCTGGTGTTGGTATCGGCTGTAGAAAGCAGTGTTCTCAGTAGCCAGCCCAAACAGCCGGGCGGGCTGGGCCGGCTGCTTTAAGCAGCCAGCCCGGCGGGCTTTTTGCATCAGCCCAAACGGCCCAGCCTGCTTTCGGGCCAGCCCGGCTGCCAGAACTTTGAGTGATCTTCGGTGAAGACCGTCCACTGCAAGTGGCGGGGTTCAATCGGCGCCGATAGACTTATCAGGATCTGTGATGTTATACTAAACTCCTATCTAGTGATCTCCTCCTAGTCATCATTTTACACGGCGAACATCTTTATGTACTTTTCGTTTCATAGCAGTAGTTTACATCACGGTGGTCGTATTTGTCGTCATTGTGGGCTGCAGCCCAAACAGCCGGGCGGGCTTTTTGATCAGCCCAAACAGCCAGCCGGGCTTTTTGATCAGCCCACATCCGCCCAACGCAGCCGGCCGGGCGGGCTGGCTGTTGAGAACACTGGTAGAAAGCTTGGACCAGCTGAAATATCGAAACCAATACACCCAGCAGTCCATCGCCACTTCGCACGCGTCGACCACTTCCAGTGCCGTCCACACACTCTTAAAGTCGGGGAAATTCCGACTAGCTTGTGGGTCTAAAGCTGCCTGCACCATGCTCGACCACAAACTTGGGCCCGGGGATTGGTTCGGCGACGGGTGAGACAGAAGTGCACAGTCAAATGCAAGAAACTGCTCGGAATTTGAGTTCTCTTTTCCGAAGAACGCAACTGCCAGAACCTAAACTGTGCATGGTCTCTCTATCTCGACCGCCAGTACTGGGGCAAAAAAAGAGGGGCAAAAGAGGACCTTCCGCCGCCGGGAATTGAACCCGGGTCTTGTCGGCGCTCTCGGATGAAAGCGACAAATGCTAGCCACTACACCACGGCGGATGGATGAAAATTAGAGGCTCTTTTTATGGACATGAAAGATCATACAGTTGAAAGCATCAACCGATAGACACGCAGATACTCGACGGATTTTTAAGTATTGGGACACGCAATTTACCCGGCATCACTAACCAAAGCTCACCTGAAAAATGATATCTCCGCCGTTTCTTGCCCAAAAAATTTACTTAAAATCTCAAAACTAGGTACCTATTCTCTAAGACGCTTGGCAATGAAGAACTAGAAATTTCATATTTTTGTTGCGACAAAATCGTGTTTTGCGGTGCTCTGTTTTTGATGGGGCGCGCGTGGGTTAGGGGTGCCGGGTAAACTGAGTAGCATCCACATCCTCAGTGCCTCCTGCCCCTGCCCACATCCTCCCCAGGACATTCACACCATTGCTTGTAACAGCGCCCACACCGGTCGGCGGGACTCCCAGGACTCTGTTCCCCCAACCGAGCCGCCATGATCTCTCTCGTCAAGCGTTCCAGCTCATCCTCAACCTCACCCCTCGCGTTCGCCTCGTCCTCTTCCCTAACCCTCCTCCTCAACATTTCGACCTCACTCTCTCCATCCTCCTGCAACAGCACCGTCCACCACTTCGCCCACTTTTCTCCCGCGACGGGATCGACGCCGCCGACGGCCTCACGCTCCATTCCTCTCGGCCAGCAAATCGACGGAGTCCCGGATCCCTCAGCTCCACCTGCTTCAGCAACGTATCGATCACGCCGACCTCCAGATCTGGACAAAGCAGCAGATGTACAGTGCTCCAAGTAACGAAACCTCCCGTCATAAGTGCCGGCCTCAGGTCCCCTTCCGCGGTGGGGGTAAGGTAATAGGTACACCCCATCCAGCTCCACAGCCGTTCCAACCCCCTGTGTGTGGCACTTCCCAGATACGCGCCGCGATGATCTACGCCCGGGTGCGGTAAAAAGGCGCCGTAGCAGTGCGCGGGCTTTTCTTTCGTGACGACAGCCTCGGATTCGGGGGCGAGAGAGGTGAGGTAGGAGGCGATGCTGGTGAGGAGGCGGGATAGCTTCGTTGTTGCGATTGGAGGCTGCGACCGCGAGGGGGAGGGGAGAAAGAGACTTCCCCACGACGGTGAGGAGTAGGTGCTGGATGTGTACGAGCCCGCCGCGGGGGAAGAGGGGATCGGCGGGGTGGATGAGGGTCGGCGTACTCGGAGCCGGCTGCGGGCGTGGGGAGACCGCTCGCCCATGGAAACTTCAGGCTCATCAATTCTGTAGCCACAGACACCTGTTCGACAATGCTTGCAGTATGGAAGGTCCTCAAGCGCAATATTCAGGAACAGCACCCGGACGCAACTCCATTCTTTGTGCCCTGTGACTCTCATGGATTGCAACTTCTTATGAAAGAGATTGTGGAAGGGGTTCCCTTTTTCACACGGATCAGCAAGGTTATCAAGAAAACTGTTGGATTTTTTCACGATGCGCCTTTGCGGTACGGAATGCTGAAGGAGCATCAAGAGGAACTGTACGGAAAGCGTCTGTCACTGCTTAATTCAGTTATAGTGCAGGCACTTATACGCCTCGTCGTCGCACGTCCCCGGTTGGTGGAGATGGGCGGAGATGGACGACCACAACCAAAGCCGTCGTCCCCGCGTCGGAAATCAGAGCAAAACAAGCATCAAGCACCCAAAGCAGATGCGCTCTACGATCCAGTGCTTTCCGCTCTCACCGTTCCCGCCCTTGCGTACTGGCTTTCGGAGATCGCCTCTATGGATTGTGAAAAGCTTGGACCAGCGAAAACAAGCATGGCCCCGCTATAGCCAGCTGCCAATACCTTAAAGTAATACCTTAAAGGTTATAATGTCTGCACAGAGAGCTCAGACCCGAGTCCTCTTTCGTCACGACTTTCAGACGCACCAAACTTGAATCCACAATGCCTGAGCTAGCTCCAAACTCGTATCCTACCTACACCAGCAATGGGCAGAGCAAGCAAACGAACCCTACGTCTACGACAAGCTGGTGCCATTCGCGGCGCCCGGAAGCGCAGGCATCTCAACCATGGCGAATCTCTCGGCGGCGATGGTGAATTTCTCGGCGATGGCGGATCACTCGCCGGTGATGGCGGTTCTCTCGGCGGCAACGGAACAGTCGGACTGAGGAGATTGTCGAGGATGCGGGACACCTAGTAATGTTCTATCCTAAGTTCCACTGCGAACTTCACTGGATCGAATATTACTGGGGCGCATGCAAGCACTATGCCCGGAAACATTGCAAACTACACTCTGCCCCGGTACTTTAACCCTTCCTCAGTAATGCAACAGTAGCTAACAGCCATCAGGTCTTATGGAGGCAGTCCCTGAAGCTCTGGATGTCTGTGAAGCCATCGCTTATTTTCAAGTACTGGCGACGAACTCAGCGTATTATCCAGGCATATAGACAAGGAGTACAGAGCGCAGGTCCATATCAGTCACCGGCGGGTCTCACAGCGAGAGCCAGGCGCAGATGGGCAATAAATTGATTATTGGGCTCACGTCCAGGCGCAGATGGCACGCCTGGCCACCACCGTTCGCTCTGAACTTTGGTCCCCCACCACTTCGTACCCTTTGACCACCATCTACACCGTGTCCGCTGCTTACTTTCCGACGAAAATATCCGTGCGACAACTAGGTCTATAGCTGCCTGCACCATAGGTAGAAAGAATCGTAGCCTATACGCAACAAGTTTTATCACTCCAGACGGGTGTGCGTTGCCCGATTGTTGAGCCTTCGCCTTCACTCCTCCACACGTTGGCAAACCCCTTACGCCTCAAAAATGCATACCCATCAAACAAAAAAGAGTCCCCACACGCCCTCCTCCCCTATAGGGAGACCAAAAGACAATCACCTAGGCTCGAACCCGGATTTGAACCGGGGACCTCTCGCAATTTGCACTTAGGGAGTGACCCTAAGCGAGAATCATACCACTAGACCATCCGAGCCGATTGAGATGTTGCAGGTTACAATTCACATCAAGAACGACATACTGCATTAGGGGATCCGGAAAAGTTTTGTAATGTTGCGGTTGGCGGGAGACTGAGGTCACGGCACCGAAGGCAGAGTCGCGCGTGCATGATATGCACCCGCCGGCAGGATTTGCGGTTGCTGTGGCTGCCGCTGGGCCTGCTGCTGCTGCTGTTGGGCCTCCGTTTACCACTTGCAACGGCGCTGAAAGCTGCCGTTGGCAGCAGAACATTTTGACTTTTTGGCTGTCGGGTCGCGCACTGCCGAGACGACGCCTGTGTTCTGCCAATCGCCGTGCTCCCATCCTTCCTGGCGGCTGTTTTAACGAAATTTCTCCGGATCCCCCTATTACCTGGAGCAAATGGCTGGTTTTTCGGGAGGGCGCATAACCCTACAAACTACATAACTCAGATTGGTTCCCGACTGGTCTTCCAGTGGAACACTTCCCGCAGCGGTATAAAAGGGGCTTGGAAAGCGATCTGGAAGCTTTCAGATTTTCGGAAATCGGCGTTCCAGAACGGAGCGGAAATTGGGTCAGACTTTCAAAGGCTCTGGTGATTGGGCCATAAAGCATCGGCCCTTGCCCGGTAGCGGCGCGAAGGCCAAGATCTTGTACCAGTGTAAAGTCGATAATCAACCTGACGGGACCGTTTCAGACTCAAAATCCAGCTTCTAAACCCTTCTCTTTCCTCATTGTTCTTGAGATCAGCCAGCGCTCTAAAAGGCTACCATAGAAATCCCGACATAAAACGAGCAAGGAAATAAGGCGGGCAGGCGGCATAAACCCTAACCCTGCGCTGTGATACGGCGGCCGGATCAATACGGTATGTACCCTTTCTTCGAGTCACCCTGTGTCACTCAAAATTAACCCTCCGGTGCCAAATGCTCACTTTTGACCAAGGCGCTCCGTCTTTCGTACCAAATAATACGGTACTTTTTTCCTGACAAGACTTGGGAGGCCGATTTTTACCCACTATGGTTACTCGGGCGAGGGCGCCAGGTTTAAAATATTCGAAGACTCCTTACTCGAAGCTAAACGCTCTCAAAACCCCCCGGAGGAAGTAAGCTCAGCCGGGAAACAGACTTATGTTTAGCCTACCACCATACCTCGGAGGCCCAACTCCTCCGCAATGCACTATCTTATCAGCCGCCGTAGCATCCGCGCGGGGGTATCGCGGCTCGAAGTCCGCACTACCTAGCCCCCCTCACATCTAACGTTTCGCGAAAGTATATCTATGTATATCTAGTGCTGGGTTGCATTGATTTGCGGCTGGGAACGGAAACGGAAGTCCCAGTCCTGTCATGGGGGTATATACCATGCTATAGCATCCAGAAAACAGCGCCTCAGGTATTAAAATCAGCTTCTCCCTCCTCTGCCACCGACCTAGATAACGCACCATCACTACTATAGCTAATTTTGGATAATAACCATGCCCCCACCGATCCTTGAGCCCATCGTCGTAGCCACCGAAAACTCACCGCACGCCGTGCGCCTCCTCGCGCGGCAAGGAAAGCACACCTCCCCAACAGCAGGGTATGCACCAGGCTACATCCAAGCGAACCTCCTCGTAGTGCCCCGGGCATACGCCACGGATTTCCACTCCTTATGCCTCCGGAACCCAGTTCCATGTCCTCTCCTGGCCATCGGCAGCGCAACCTCTCTCATTTCACCAACCCCCACCACCCCGCCGCTCTTAACCCACCCCTTCGATCTGCGCAGCGACATCCCGCGGTACAACGTCTATCACGCCGGCAGGCTCACCGCTTCGGGCATAACCGACATTTCCGAGCTCTGGAGTTCTGCAGACTCGCACGTGGCGTTTCTGATCGGGTGTTCGTTCTCATTCGAGGGCGCGTTGATGGCGGCGGGGCTAATGCCCCGCCACGTAGAGATGGGCTGTAACGTAGCCATGTACTCAACCTCGCGGAAGCTAAACCCTGCCGGCGTGTTTACCGACGGCACGTACGTAGTGTCGATGCGGCCATATCCGCAGGACCAGGTGGAACGCGTAAGGGATATTACGCGGCCATATGCGGCCATGCATGGAGAGCCGATTGCGTGGGGGTGGGAGGCAGTGCAGGAGCTGGGGATTGCGGATCTGGGGGCGCCGGAGTTTGGGGATGCGGTGGAGATCAAAGAAGGCGAGGTACCCGTGTTTTGGGGGTGCGGCGTTACCCCGCAGAATGCGATTATGAGGGCGGGGGATAAGATTAAGGGCACTGTGATGGCGCATGCGCCTGGACATATGTTGGTGACGGATGTGCGGGAGGAGGAATATTTCAAGACGCAGGCTACGGTGCTGTGAAAGTAAATTGGTCTGAATTGTTGCTTGGTATAGAACAAGAAGGGAAGTAGAAACAGCTGGTATTTCGAAACGCTTTGCAATATATAAAAAAAAAAACGAATAATGCCAATATATCCTGCCAATGCTTGCCATGTTGCAGATGAGCCAAGAAGAAAATCTCAGCCAACGAACCTAGAGCATGCTTATATCCTCTCCGCCCTGCGGTGCAACATCCATCCACCAATCCGGGTCCATCCACCCGACTACGCCACCAACTCCCATCCCCATCCCGCCCATCACAGAATCATACTCAAGGCCAAAATATTGTTCCAGATCCAGGCCAATGGCATTGATATCATCGCCGCCTTCGGTTTTTATCTGGAACTCAGCCACCTTCAACCGCGCTTCCTCATCCGCCATCAGAATCGTCTGTTTTGCCTGTGTCGCGGTGCTCCACGTTGCGGAGCACCCGTCCAGCGCGTCCAGGATCACGTGCAGGAACTTGGACGCCTCTTCGTCGGTGTCTTCTTGTACCGTGTGCCGTTTGAGAAGAATTATCGACGCGGCTGCCGTGGCGGTGTGGATAAACGTCATCGGCAGGTACAGATACTCGTTGCCGCGTACGTACTGTTTGATCAGCTTGATTATTGCGGTGACTGAGGCCCAGCAGATGTCGAAATCGGCGGTTGCGACGGGAGTGCGCGTGTATTGAAGGGTGAGTGGTGGTCTGTGGAGGACTATCAGTGCGGTGTGATACATCATGCTGAGACACACACACATTTAGCAACCCTGAAGGGATAGGGGAGGGGGCACGGAGAGGGGAGGTTCTTACTGTAATACTAAGGTGTACGGTTCTACGTCGTTCCGCCATTCATTCCAGTGCACTTTCTTCGGGAGATTGCTGAGCCAACTCGTCAGCTCCAGATGTATTTCCGTCACTGTCGCGCCAAGGGATGCTTCGTCCGGCTTTTGGTCGCGGATCTCGAACACGTTGGTGAGCATCTTGTGCACAATCTTGGTCAGATCGATGGAACAGAGAAGCGTTCCCACTAGCGCTGCCCCGTCTTCGTCTTGTGGTGTTTTCTTGCCTGAGAATAGGTCTTTGATCAGGGCAGGCTCGAGGATCGACGACGTTGCTAGCCAGCACTCAGGGTACTGTATCCGCTTCGTTTCTCGAACATCGGATTCCCTTGGTGATAATGCTGGCGGCCGACCAAAGTATAACGAGATCCATCTAAGTCTTTGGTCAGATGGGTTTGTCTCCACGGTGGGGATGGGAAACCAGCTCACTTGTCGGCCACAAAAGCACCCCAATAGCATCTACGGCGTATCTCTCGTTCAATCGAGGATTCTTCAGAGGAATCCCAATTCCTTGGGTCCAAGTGTAGGCCCATATCGTGAGCCAATCGAAACGCCATTCCTTGGGAAACATCAGTCGCTTATTCGGATGCACGCAAGAAGCGGATAAGTGCATACCTGCAAAAAGCCAGCCCTTGGACCCATGTCCCTGGCCGATCTCGCGCTGGCTCATAAGCAGCAGAGCCTGGAGCACAGTGATATCCGGCGAGTCCATGCCTGAGTCATATAGCAATTCTTGAGCACGCCTGGCAAAAAGCTCGCTTCGCTGACGTTCTGCAGGATCTTTACTGACCAAAGCGGCCATGGAACATATGGCATACATCAGGAGATCGGAGTAGTACGGCCCCCCGCCGGAATGTAGGTCGCGCAAAAAGAATTCCCTATAAAAGTACATGTGGTACGGATACAGTCGCAAGAAGAACAGACTCATCAGCTTTCGACAGTCGGCGCTTTGCGGCGCTAGAAGCGACCGTGCGTAGTCATATTCTCCGTCCCCATTTGCTATGGCCCTGTGGCTGCGGCGCTCCGTCGGCGGTAGTGGTCCCGGGTCTAACGTTGCCGTAGCAATCTGGTAGCTCGTTGGACCGTAGAATCGTGATAATGCGCCGCGGGTGCGGATTTGCCCGGTGGTCTTCGTCACAGCCGAAGGGGAGCCGTGGCGGGGTGTCTGGGGTTGCGCCGGGGGCGGGGTAGTGTGAGCTGCGGCGGCGGCAGTAGGAGAAACCGGTGCGCTGAAGGGAGCAGACGGTGTATTTTCTCCAGAACCGCGGAGGCCGGAGAGCATGATATTTCTGTCCGCCGCATCGGCTTCAGCCACACCTCGCACAAATCCTACGGCTCGAGCAACATCAGCGCCACGATCCTCGGTAAGTCCTCGGCTTGCAACTTGAGAAAGAGTGGCACCTTCCCACCACGTCACCATTCCTTTCAGCGCATCCACCTGGCCGCTGAGATCTTGCACCTGCTTCTTCAGCGCCTCGATCTTGACGTTGCGCGCCTCAAGATCCCGTTCCAGCGCGTTGACATATTCCTTCGGGACGGGTCTGTGTGGCGGCGAGCAGCACTTAGCCGCGGCATCCGAGTCATCCATCGGGTATCCAACCCACCTTTTCTTCTCAGTCACAGGGTAAACGCAGTCGACGCCGTTACTTTCGCAGGTCTGGCAGGGCAGTAATCTGTTGCACTTTTTCTTTCCTTTCCGACAGCGCTCGCACCTATCATGTATTGGTCAGCAGGGGGGGCACATTGAGCTCATCGGCAGTCTGCCGGAGCTGTCGGAAACGTGTCAGGCGCACCCCACTTCGAATGGTATATGCTTCCCGTCCGCGTCCGAA